ATCTGGATATCCACTTCCGCCGGCTATCCACTGGCTCTCTCTCGCTGTCCAGTTCTTGCTGTCCAGTCGCTCTCTTTCTTGTTGTCCACTGTCCACTGGCTCCCCACTGGCGATATGGTAGATTACCCTCCACCGTCCTACCCTCGAGGACATACTTTTGTCTTTTTCTCAGTCTTATAATAGCATAACTGTGGATAGATGACCTTGTCAATTTTCCACTTGCCCTTGGTGGAAGGGCAAGTGGATACGTGGGAGGGTATTGAGCAGGAGGATGCAGTCGAAAGAGGGGCATGCACATATCTGATGCCTGCTAGTCCTATCCGGAGTGGATTGTTGTGCACCTCTTCCTCATATTGGTGATCTTCGAACTTGCATAGCCAACGGGCATGCATCAGAGGAGGAGGAGGAGGAGGGAGAAGGGGGTGCATGAAGGTGGAAGGGAGGGCACCGGCTTGCCTCCTCTCTCCTTGTCTTACGAGTGCCGTGTTGTGGGTTCTGTAGGTTGGAAAGGCATTGGGGGCTCTTGTCCCTGCCTGTAGTAGCCGCACCCCCCTTGATGTTTTCAAAAAAAGAAAAAAGAAAAAAAAAAAAGAGTTGGATCGGCATCGGGATACACGCTGGCAGGTATTTTTATCTGTAAAGCGTCCGGGACAGTTGTATTGTAGTGTGGTAATTGCGTCGATTGGTTGGTGTGGTCGGCAATCTTTGACGACGATCAGCAATCTTCTACGATGATCAGGTTTGATAGTGGAGGGGAAAGTGCAAAAGTGGGAGGCAATTAAGCTGGAGGACAAAGTGGAACAAGAAGCATGCGCGTTCGCTGATGGCCTGCTACCGGTAATTCTGTCTGGGGTGGATTGGTCAGGTCCATGCAGGCCGGGGACAGTCGTCTGCAGACAGGCTGGCAGGTGTTCTAGCTGTAACGACATTTCGGCGATAGTAGTGTTGTAGTGTGGTAATTCCGACGGTTGCTCGGTGTGATCAGCAGTCTTCTACGATGATCAGGTTTGATCCTCCGCTTTTGCTATTATCACTTATAGATTAACTACCAGACTGGCTCGGGACCACTGCCCGGCCGGGTAAAAGAAAGTCGAAATACTTAAAAATAAACATTTTTGAATTTTCAAATTTTCAAATTTATTTAAAATTTGGTAAAGAATTTCGAGGTAACCCTGAGGCACACACACAGAGAGAGAGAGAGAGAGAGAGAGAGAGAGAGAGAGAGAGAGAGAGAGAGAGAGAGAGAGTGAGAGAGAGAGAGAGAGAGAGGGAACGACTTCCTGTTTGCTGCCAAGCAGTGTGTATGGAATGGAAAGATCTGCGAGAATGTTTTGGAGAGAGAGAGAGAGAGAGAGAGAGAGAGAGAGAGAGAGAGAGAGAGAGAGAGGGAGAATCCACACTTGTATGAGAAGAGATTGCTGATAATCCTTTAGGGCTATTGTGTTAGTATCTCGTTCAATGGTTTGTTAATGCTTTGGGAAATAACGTTTTACTTAGTGCCAAGTTTGCATTAGACTAGGGTTAAGGCTTTTTTTCATGTGATGTGAGGGCTATTGTGAAATGTGCAGTCTTATGGTGGTTTCACAAATTCTAATCTCTTATCACATTAGGGTTGATCTGCTGGCATCTTGTCGACTGTTTTGTTGCTTCGGGGATTAATGGGTTGATTAGTGTCGAGCTTACATTAGACTAGGGTTACGGCTTATTTCCACGTGATATTAGAGCTATTGTGAGACTAGGTGGTTTTATGGCATTTTCAGATTTTAGTCTGATTAAGAAATGGGTTGAAGTAGTAGAAGAGAAGACAAGAGGAAGGGGTTGCTCTGTTTGCCACAGTCGTGGCCCTGGCTTTGGTTGGCCAGAGAGCCTTGCTCAGCTTGCGTGCTGTGGCAAACTTTGTGAGGGACGCCGGGCCTGTTTCCCGGCACGGCAATAATCGTTACTCCTTTTTCAAAAAAAATGAAAAAAAAAAGGTATTCAGTTTATCAGACTTTATCTTCTGCATAACATAGTTTTTTTTCGGATTTGAGGATTTTTTGGATATTTGTTCGCTGGGGCCTTCCCTGGTCCTTGCAAGGCTGGGCTGCCCAGGCAAGCATTTATTTTTGGATTTTTTGGAATTTTTTTTTTTTGCTGGGGCCTTCCCTGGTCCTGGCATAGTTGGGCGGCCCAGGCAAACAAGGATCCAGGCAGCCCAGATGGTAGCCGCCCAGGTTATAGCTTTCTTTTTTTTTTTAATGAAATCGAAGAATAAAATCTTATACCTCCGATATCTCCCAGGGCAGAATTATGTTTATTTTTCCGTCAGTGGGATCTTTTGCCAAAATTTACTGTTGATGTCGGGGACGCCGGATCCATTTTCCGGTTTGTATAATGAAATGGCAACCCCAGTATGAACCTGGCCGGAGTGCCCGGATCATACCGGAGACGTTGCCCATCTTTTTGGGAAAAGATAAACTAAAAAAATCTTCTCTGTAATGAGTCTGTAATACTCTGTATCGTTCCAATTTATATTTTTTTCTTCTACATCTAAATCTACATATGCGAGGATATGTGTCCTCGGCAGGCCTAAGAGGTCCCGTGCACCAAATGTGCCCACCCTAAGTGAAGGCAGGCCTAACAAATCGCCAGAGGCCCTAAGCTGTCAAAGTCCCATTTGGGGTCCAGGCAGTTTTGTTGCGCCAGTTGGTTGAGGAAAACACAGGCCGAGCAGCAAGGAAATTCCACGGCCTTCTAGGCTTTTCCGAAAGTCCAGCCCAGGGCGAGATTTGCAGCCTCATACACAGACAGTTGAGAGGCCCAACTGAATGAGGCCCAGTAGCTGCACCAAAGGCGCAGCATCCTCGGGCCTTACCGGAAGCTTCTGGGCCTGGGCCCAGGCCAGCCAGGCTGCGAAGGCAGGCATACTTCTGGGCCTGGGCCCAGGCCAGCCAGGCTGCGAAGGCAGGCATACTCTTTCCATATAGGAAAGAGCTCGCTGCCTGGAGCCACATTCGCTCGCATGCTGGCGGCAGCACTGCTGGAGCTGAACCTCGTGGGCTGCTGCTAGCGCTGAGAGGCGAGGTGGAAGCACGTGCGGTCGTGCATGGAGGAGGGCGCTGCTGAGGGCAGCGCCATAGCCCAGCCTCCATAGCTGGCAGGGCTTGGATGTACAGTGAGGTGCAGGGGTGGTCTTCGGGTGTACAAGAGGGAAGACGTGGGAGTAAGACGAGGGAGAGAGAGAAGGATGATGATGATGATGTGAGGGCACATACCTGGTATTGGCGATGGTCTGCATGGGCGACATCTTCAAGTACTTCGGAGGCTGCTGACGTCAACAGTTNGCGACATCTTCAAGTACTTCGGAGGCTGCTGACGTCAACAGTTGCATTGTCAATTAGTAGGCTAGTAGTAGCTGTGTAGGAAGTAGGCTGGGCGCTGAGCGCCAAGTAGGGAGATAGGGACTGGATACATATGTTGGTGGTGGCGAGAGCAATCTCTCATTGACATTGGTTTTCAGTGCTACAGTTCTCCACTGGTGTCATATTGGTGCAATGCTGCTTTCTGAACACTGTGATGCGATCTGGCTTTCAATGTGATTGTGCAATCTGTATGTTGTCATCTCGCTATTGCTCATTTTTCTTGCAAGTTGGTATCGGAGCTGGTTCGAACTGCACTCATTGGTTCTTCGCAATAGCTGTTCGATGCTTCGCATGAGGTGTGGGGCAGTGATAAGGCTTGGGCGTTGAACGGTAGGCGGCCCAGGGTCGTGTAGGCGCGCCAGGAAGCTATGTGGTGACATTAGGGTTGTACGCTGGATGATGAGAGCTCGCTGATGTGGCATTTAAGCCGAGGTGGAACTGCATTCTGCTTTTGGTTGTGCCGAGGCAAAGACCGGTCATCATAAATGCACATCAGGTTGCCGGTGAGAAATCTGTGGTTGGGGGCAGCATTATGAGGTACGTTGCTTCCTTCCTAATCTACCCTCTTCATTGCTTCTCACCGTGAGGAAGTGAGTCTTGTCTTGAGAGTCGTCTCAATGTGAGGTGTCGTGAGCGCTCAACCTTGAGAGTCGATATTCTTCCTGGGCGGCAAGCTGGTGGGAGACGGGCGTTGCCTCTGAAGGGCCCTGAACGAAGCACTCGGGTCACAGTCACGATGCCAACCCGTTGGGACTAGAACACGCATGCTTTGCCGCAAGTCCTTGGTTCTGCTGCTGCGCAATAGAGGTCATGCAGGGCTTGCCAGCCCTTTGAACAAACGCTTACCAGACCGTCTCTAAATATTTCAGGCGGGGACTCGGTGTTGATTCTGGCTGTGATCGTCGTCCTGTCTGCGACGTTAAATAATTCCTGAGGAGTTACTTGCGATCTCCTTAAATGCCTCCTGATCAGCCAGATCAAACCGGGTGTAAGGCTCGTTGCATGCGAGGATAAATAATGTGCAGGGGCTGGCAAGTTGGGCGTTGACTTGGGGCACAGGGGTAGGTCAGATTGCACACCTTTAAACACGTTGCTCAACCAAATGCCTAGGAACGTCGACACGAAGTGACTACTCAAGAGGGATACAGGGAAAGGGTGGGATTCCGATAACTGTTCGTGGTGGCATTAATTACATAAACTTCCATCCAGCATACATCTCTGCAGGGAGCATTTTGATTATTTAGTTGTTATGGACTTGACTAACAACTGACAGACAACTGCAGATAGAGTAGTATATTATTTGCTGCATTGCAATCTATATTAGAGTAATCTAAAAATAGATTTAATATTCCTTGTAGGATCTGACACTGGTGACACCTAACCACCTAACTGTTTCTGTCCAGGCCGACCGAAGTTAGTTGTGTATCATAGTCGGTTGTGTGTAATGCTAAGGTAGGATTCAGTGTGGATTCTAGTTTAGATCACACACACTGTAGCTCGTGAGTGATGCAAGCACTAGTGAGGAGGAGTTGTTAGTGGATGACCATAGGACTACTCGTAGAACTGCTCTCAGTCGACCTTTGACTTTCCTAGAGTTAGGTCCAGGAGACGAGAGAAGACTGCGGAGAGAGGCTAGAGAGAGAACAACGGCAAGAAGAGCAAGGGTGGCTGAGGCCAGTGCCAGGTTTAGGATTACAGCTAGCACCGGTACGACCATGGCTACTTCCTCTACCATGTCGCAGGCCTCTTCACAGTCCACTTCGTCAGGAGTCAGTCAGAGTGGTTCTCAGGCTTCCATTAGCCAGAGTGTTGGTTTGCAAGTCAGCCACCAGGCTCAATTCACACCGGAGGATTATGAGATTCTCCAAGCAGAAGAACTTCAGGATGAGTTGCAGCGGCAGTTCGATGAAGCAGCAGAGAGAAGAAGAAGAGCAATTATGAGAAAAGCTAGACTAGGTAGTAGATAGCAGGAGCTAAGCAGATTAGAAGCATTAGATGAGTCAGCACTTGACCCTGTGATGCGAGCGGTGCATAACTCGCTCCTGTGTGTGGCGGGGACGCAGGTTGTTCAGCAGGAGGTGTTGGCTGAACTAGTGGCAAGCCAGAAACGAATTCTGGTTGCACTACAGGCTCCTCGTCCAGTGACGAGGCAGCCTCAGTTTGCTGTAGTTCCCCCATCGGTTGCGGGTCCATCGATGACGTCGTCGTCGGCTGGGCCCTCATTCTCACCTATGTTTGGCATGCTCCTCCAGGTGGTTATGTGGCGACTAGTGGTCCGGTCTTAGAGTCTCTGCCGTACCATTGACGACAGTGGTTACTACAGTCCCACTGTCAAGCCAGGCCCTGGTTAGTGCGCAGATTGACGAGTTCACAGATCTAGGGGAGGAGACAGAGTATGATGGGGCCAGCGAGACTTCGGATGGGGGAGTCGTGGCACCCATCAAAGAAAAGGCTAGGGGGACCAGGAAAAAGAAGGTAGTACGGTCCACGGGTCAAGGCGACCAAGGTACACCCACATGGGTGAAACTTGGTTTAGAGTATGAGGTATGGAGGGACTGAGTTGCTAGGGGTACGTGCATGAACTGTGGCAATTATGGCCACACGTCCAGAACAAGCCAAGGTAAAAAAGTCAACAAAGAGTAGCCTCTCCAACGGTGGTGAGACTATCCTCGAACCCTGGTGGTGCTTCTGCGAGCACTTCGCAGGGAAACACCTCGGGCCAGTAGGAGTTTTAGCCGCTCTTACTCGCGCTGAAGTGGTAACGTTGCCTTCCCCACTTCAGGCGTTGGCTAGGGCTAGTGACCCACCTATCGCCCCGCAGACACATTCAAACCCACCGACTCTCTGTTCAAGAGATGTGTCTGAGGCCCTCGAAGAGTTAGAGACTGACTGGTCAGGGAAGGACCCCAGAGCCTCTTGGGCGATGATCAGTAGAGGTCCAAAGGGTTGGCGCCTTTGCAGACATAGACTCTACACGAAACTTCATCAGTCGTGCTTGTGTGGATAGACTGCGCTCAGGGGACTAAGTGCATCGGCTTAGCAGGACTGTAGCTTTTACGCTAGCCAACAAGCATCAAATGTTAGTCAAAGACTATGTCAAGGATGTAGTCTGTACCTTCTCTTACGGAGGAAGGGAAGTGAGACATAAAATCTCATTCCTCGTTAGCGACGAACTGCCCTTCGATATGCTACTAGGCATGTACTACCTCGAGGTCGCTCAACCTCAGTTTGATTGGGATAGGAAGGTGTTGATACACAAGCTGTCAAACGGTAGGACCGTTAGATTGCAAAAGTATAAAGCTAGCAATCTAGTGGAAAACTACGGCTGCATGTGTGCCTCCTCTTTCTATAACTACTATAAGCAGAATCACGTGGAGGACATGTATCTAGTCTTTGTCTCTGAAAAAGGGGAGGCCGTTAAAACACCCCCAGAGATTGAATTAGTTATCGCGCAATTTTCCGACCTTTTTTAGGAACCCACAGGCGTGGTAGAAAGGGAGGTGGTCCATGCAATAGAGGGTGTCCCAGGTAGTAAAGTACCTAGAGGACACATCTATAGGATGTCTTCTGCGGAGTTGGATGAGCTCCGCCGCTAGCTTAAGGAGCTCACAGAAAAGGGATGGATTCGGCCTAGTACCTCCCCTTACCGTGCGCCAGTCTTATTTGTCCCAAAGAATGGAGGTACCCTGAGGATGTGCATTGACCTTTAAGAACGCGGAGCCCCTACCCCGCATCGACGACCTCCTAGATAGAGTGCAGGTTTGCCGGTACTTCACGAAGATAGATCTGAAGTTCGGATACCATCAAATCGCCATTTGACCTTAGGACCGACACAAAACCACATTTCAAACCAGGTACAGTTTGTACGAGTTTGTGGTGATGCCCTTTGGCCTATGCAATGCACCTGGTACATTCCAGCACTCGATGAACATGATATTTTATGAATACTTCGACAAGTTTATCGTCTTGTACCTGGACGATATTCTTATCTTTAGTAGGACAATACTTAGACAAGTTTATCGTCTTGTACCTGGACGATATTCTTATCTTTAGTAGGACTGTAGAGGAGCACGTTGAGCACTTGAAAATAGTGCTAGATCTCCTTAGAAAACACCAGTACAAGGTTAAACTTGGAGAAATGCGAGTTCGGTCGCACCAAGATCTTGTACTTGGGTCATGAAATCTCAGCGGATGGATTGAGGCCGGATGATGCTAAGATGGCCAGCATCCGTGACTGGCCCAGACCTCAGACTGATACTGAGATCATATCGTTTTTGGGGATGACGGGCTACTATCGTCCGTTGGTGAAGAACTATAGTACTATAGCTTCCCCATTAACAGATCTAACTCGACTAGACACCCCTTGGGAGTGGACTGAAGAGTGTAAGGCGGCCTTCAGGAAACTGAAGTATGCCCTGGCACACTATGAGGTTCTCAAACTTCCCGATCCTTATAAACTCTTTGTCGTGACCACAAACGCCAACCAATATGGCATAGGCGAGGTCCTTGCACAAAAGGAGGGGCCAAAGTTGAGACCGGTCGAGTATATGAGCAAAAAGATGCCATCTCAGAAACTAGACAGGTCTACTTACGAGCGTGAGCTCTACGCCTTTTACCGAGCGCTGGTCCATTGGAGACACTATCTCCTTGGCAGATTTTTCTATGTGAGATCTGACCATGAGACCCTGCGCTGGATCAAAACACAACCAGTACTTTCTGACGCACTTAAGCGATGGATTCAAGTGATAGACATGTATGACTATCAACTTGATCCAATCAAGGAAGAGTACAACAAGGTAGCTGATGCACTTTCACGTCGGGCAGATTACCTGGGCGTGCTAGTAACCGAATTCGACATATCTAATGATCTAACTCGATCTTTGGCGGAGGCCTACCAGCAAGATGCAGTTATGTCTGAGATCATCCGTAAGTTCAAAGAGAAGGATAAGGTAACTTCTGACGAATTTACGATGGTAGATGGCTTGCTGTTTCTTGAAAAGGCAGGGAATAAAAGACTGTGTGTTCCCAGTAGTGAGTCTTTGCGTAGTTTGTTTTTAGGGGAATGTCACGTTGCAACTGGTCATTTTGGTTACAAAAAGACTTCAGCTAACTTAGTGCAGAAATTTTGGTGGCCCACTGATGCGAGATGCGAAAAAGAACGTTGAAACTTGCCAGGTTTGCCAAAGGGACAAACCTAGGACTCGGGCTCCACTTGGGCTCATCAAGCCCTTGGCGATTCCTGAAGGTCCTCGTCAGAGTGTGTCCATGGACTTCATGGATACTCTTGTGACCAGTAAGTTTGGAAAAAGGCACATCTTTGTGATAGTGGACTGCTTTACTAAGTATTCAACACTTATTGCTATGCCAAAAACTGCTAAAACTGACTATGTCATCAAACTGTTTCTGGATAACTGGGTCAGGGATTTTAGACTACCTACGTCGATAGTAAGTGACAAGGATGTAAGGTTTACCAAAGAACTGTGGCAGGCGACAGCTGAACAGATGGGTACCAAGCTCCAAATGACGTCAGGGAATCACCCTGAGTCAAATGGCCAGGCAGAACAGATGAACCGGGTAGTACAGCACCTGCTTCGGCATTATATTAAGCCAAGTCAGGACGACTGGGACGAGAAGTTACCTCTCGTCGCTTGCACAATAGTACTGGTATGACTCCCAACCAGCTGCACCTTGGTTGGAAGCCCAGAACTGCACTTGACTTTCTGCTACCAGAAAGGCAACCCACTGCAGCACCTGGCAGCATAGAATATGCTGTCAAGTATCAACAGATGCTACAAAAGGCCGTCAAAAATATTAGAAAGTCTCAAGATGCTATGATTACATCTGAGAATAAACATAGACGGCCCTCTAACTTTCAGGTAGGTGATAGAGTCTGGGTAAAGTCATCTGAACTAGGTCAGGCGTTGGGGATATCACGCAAACTGATGCCACAGTACTTTGGGCCCTAGGAGATCTTAGACATTGTAGGGGATCAACCAGATGGGCCTTCATATGTGATTCGCATTCCTGCACACTTGCGTACTTGCCCTGTTTTCCATGCATCCAAGTTGGCACCTTTCGCTGCCACAGATCAGTTTCCCTCTAGGAGGTCAATGCTGCCCCCAACCATGGACGGACATGTGGGCATTGATGATATCATCGAGCACAAGCTGATTCCTGTGCCCAAACCTCCAGGAAGGGGACGACCGCCAAAGCCACAGATGCGATACTGAGTGCGGTTCAGACATCACATTGATCCTCAAGAAGATCGGTGGTTCACAAGAGAGGAATTAATGAAGACTGCTCCCCAAATTATCTCCAGTTACGAGAAAAAGTTGAAAGGGAAGCAGCCTGCTACATAAGGACTTCTCAGAGGACTATCGAAGAAAAGGAGGGAATGCGAGGATATGTGTCCTCGGCTGGCCTAAGAGGCCCCGTGCAGCAAATGTGCCCGCCCTAAGTGAAGGCGGGCCTAACAGATCGCCAGAGTCCCTAAGCTGTCAAATTCGTATTTGGGGTCCAGGCAGTTTCGTCGCGCCAGTTGGTTGAGGAAAACACAGGCCGAGCAGCAAGGAAATTCCATGGCCTTCTAGGCTTTTCCGATAGTGCAGGCCCTGGGGCGAGATTTGCAGCCTCATACACAGACAGTTGAGAGGCCCAACTGAATGAGGCCCAGTAGCTGCACCAGAGGCGCAGCGTCCTGGGGCCTACCAGAAGCTTCTGGGCCCAGGCCCAGGCCAGCCAGGCTGCGAAGGCAGGCAGACTCTTTCCATATAGGAAAGAGCTCGCTGGCTGGAGCCACATTCGGGCACTCGTATGCTGGCGGCAGTGCTGCTTGAGCTGAAGCTCAAGGGCTGCTGCTAGCGCTGAGAGGCGAGGTGCAAGCACATGCGGTCGTGCATGGAGGAGGGCGCTGCTGAGGGCAGCGCCATAGCCCAGCCTCCATAGCTGGCAGGGCTTGGATATACAGTGAGGCGCAGGGGTGGTCTTCGGGTGTACAAGAGGGAAGACGTGGGAGTAAGACGAGGGAGAGAGAGTAGGGTGATGATGATGATGTGAGGGCACATACCTGGTATTGGCGATGGTCTGCATGGGCGACATCTTCAAGTACTTCGGAGGCTGCTGACGTCAACAGTT